GACTTGGGCGAACAGGAAGAGCAGCTGGGTGGAATGAGTCATTGGAGACTCCTCTGCTACCTTCAGCGCTTACCCCAAGCATTTGCAGTTCTGCAAGGTTGATGAGGTTTGTGGAACAGCCGCAAGAACGTCCGGGGTTCCAACTCAACCGCTTGGGAAGTTCAAGGTTCAGCTTCGCTAAAGTGTCCGACGCTCCTGGAAAACCTGGGAAAAAGAAAAAAAACAGAGGAAGTCTTGACTGCTCTTGATCAAGGGGTTTTCCACTAAACCCACCAACGTGTTTTTTGTTCTTGCAGAGGGGTCAACAGAAACCCAGGAGTTGCTCGCCTCTAGCTCAAGAATGACCGGGGCGAGGGGCTTCCTTTGGCTTTCCCTCTGCCAGCCTCGGAAAACCCTTCGGGTCCAGGGAATTCCCCACTCCCAGAGTGCCCAAACAATCGACCGCTTAAGCCCGGAGGTACTTGGCCCCTTTCGGAAGTCGCATTTTGGTACCCAGAGGGTCCCCTCTGGGTCCTTTTCCGGCTTCTGGGAGGCAAGGGGAAGCCCAAAGCAAGCCACTCGCAGGTCTGGGTCCCTGGGTTGGAAAGCTCCCAAATCCAGGTGCAACGAAACTACTTCGGGGGGAGGCAAATCCTAGAACCTTGTTTCCTTAACCTTAGGGAATCCTAGGGAAGCCTAGGGAGCGCTAGGGAGCCCTACTAAACCCTAGGGAAGCCTATCCTTGAGGATTGATTTTAAGCATCTAAAGAATCTAAAGGTTGACACTTTGGGGCTCAGTTTGTCAAGAAAGCCCCGAGGTTTCGTGCCAGTTGCCTTTCGCCCCGATCCTCAGGCTTCACCTCGTCGACTGCAGGCGGGGCAGAAAGGGTTATGACCACCCGACAGGATCCGGCTCCTTGTCAAGCAGGTAGTTTTTGGTATTTGTCCTTCAACTGTCCGACTGCCATTGGGGCCAGTTTGCTGACCTCCATGTTGCATACTTGTGTTTATTGCTTACCACCCTCCGACCATTGCCGGGTAGCGAACCTTCTTGCCCTTTTGCACTTTGGGGTGCCGTATTTGTTTTGTTCGACCAACAACAACTTTACCCCCGCGGGAGGTCTAAGTCTGGCCGTGTCGCCGGCATCCTGCGACAGTTGTTTGGACAGTTGGGGTTTTGAACATCGGCAAAGACAGCGGAGTGTACTTTGCAAGGATTTTTTCTTGAGGCTGCCTAATGAGAGCCCATGATTGCTAAACACCTTGTTGAGTCAGGGAGATTGCCCCCAGTTTAAGGGAAGTCGCACACATGAATCCACCATGTTGATTCTGGGGCATTCGTTCGATGTTGATTAATCCATCGCCCGCGGATCACACCCGAACATCGGGATTCGACGTGCGGGTCTGGATTCGAAGTGCGTGGATTCACTGTTTGCTTTGCAAAACACACAGTAGTTGACTGCAGAAGCAAGCTATCGTGGTTCTGGTTCCGAGGTCGTTGCTTCCACGTTGTGTAGCTGATGGGTTTTATTTAGTTTTGCTGGAAGAAACCGTCCTTTGCCAAGAAGCCTACAGGTTCCAAAGATGACCGCCTACCCTTCCCTTTGTCAGTTGCCACATCTTGTTTACGGCAGCTGCCACTTCCCTAGTCTTTCCCGGACAACTTTTTCAGCCTTCCTGCAGGGATTTCTAGCCCAAAGCCAGAGTTGGCTTCCTTGATCCGACGGATGGATCATGTTTCGTTTCAACTACTCCGCACCCTGCACAGAACAATAGTACCGAGGACAAGGCCGAGGCCCCGCCAGAGAGGCCTCACCATCGCCACGTGCCTGACCCAGATAGGGAGGACGTGAGCCATCCTGCACTGTTCTTGGATCAAGGTTCTTTTTCTAGGTCCTGCAGTAATACCCTTTTACACTTTTTGGGGGGGAGGGTTCCCCTACTAAAATAGACTACAGAAAATAGAATACCCTTATTCTAACCTCTCTACTGGAGGGACTAGTTTTTGTGTTTGTTTGTTCATTTTCACTGGAGGGCTGCAAAAAACAAGTTTTGTTACTACCATACCAAGAGTTGTTGAGCATCGACGCAAAGGGATATATTTTTTAATCCCGCCGTTGGCTTTATCCACAGGTGCTGGGAGAAACAAACACCTATACATGATGGCTATGGGACAGTTTTGTTGTCACAGTGCCGCCCTTTGATTCTCTACAGCGGGTTTTGGGTCAAGCTGCGGACGAATCACTTAGACTCTTCGTGTTGAGATCAGGGTTTATGCTTTTATTATTGATGCCCTCTTTTGTTTTGTTTGTTCTTTTGGCGGGAAACCAAAAGTAGATCCTACGCTAGGATACAACTTAAACCCATTAAGAGTTGCAACACATTTTGCGCAGAGTGAACCTCGACTGCGTGGCTAGACTTAGTTCCTTCAGTGGTCGAAGAGGGAGAGCTTTGGATCGGCCGAGCAGAACAATTGGGCTGCATGTGACAAGTCGGTGGGGAAGTTTCTCAAGATGGATTTCCGACCCGTTTGGTCGGTATTATATAAGGGAGGCCAAAAGGAAACCATTGCTATTTCTCACTTCCCGAATTCCTGGGCTTGAAGCTTTTTGGGCATATTATTTTGGTGGAGAATTAACAAGTTCATGTTTTGTTGCGAATCCGCTCAGGAAGTGATGTTGAGCAACCGTATGAATATTGTGGAAAACCGTGAATTTTAGGGGTAAGCCTGATCGCGGATGTTGTACTCATAGGAAGTTATTCTTTGACCGCTCAAGTGAATGGTGGAAGGTCAGAGGGCGAGGGGGAAACTTGGGTGCCAGGCCAGGAGGCTTTTGTATTGGCTTATCTCCCACTTGCTAGTTTCACTCCAGTTGGGAGACTTGGGTTGTGGAGTGAATGATTAAAATTTCCTGCTCTCAGTTAGGTTCTTATTATCCGCCATTGCAAGAGGACAGGATTAGGTCATGTTGTCAATGTTTTGTGGCTGTTAAGGGCTGGCTCCCCAGTGGTGCATGGTCACAGAGTCTTCCCCCTGAAACATCACCAGAGAACAAACTGACCCATCAAAACCTGGGTAAGTGAAGGCTAGGAAGGGATAGTCACCGGAAATTGGTGCCGCCTGGATTCTTGAAATATGGCCATGGGGTTATTTGTGGTTCGACTCCTTGCGTTGTGATTGTAGCTCGGCTTGAGCAAACACACCCGAAGCTACGCCGAGCTGTTGTCCAACCGAGGCCAGCTTGAACTGGAGGTGCGGAAGGGTCGTGTGTTTTGTTTGTGTGAAGGATTTCTCTTCACGATCCGAGGTGGTGTTTCCTTTGGGTTGGGCTTGCCGGACATGGTGACATGGCGCGTAGCAGGAAGGCGGTTTCGTTTGGTTGCAGGAGGCGTCGCAGTCGGATCAGGAACATGCGACAAAGCTGGATATTGTAGGGATCTCCTTGGACATTTCACAGTTCAAGGTTCTCGGAACATGGACCAGAATCTGAATCAAACTCATCGTATTTGATTGGGAGGCAGAAGCTGAGGTAGATTGGGTGTGGGTTTGCGTCATGGTGTCTGCTTAGGGCCTTCCATGCGTGGTTCTTGAGGGATTCCACTATTAAGGGGGCTCCGAACGAGCACGACTTGGGGGAGGGGGTTGGGTTGTGGTGTCAAAGGCATTGTACTGCGGATTGACATGGAACAACAAGCCCATCATTCCGGTAAGCTGCGGCAAATTTGCTGGGTTTCCCTTATTCCCCTTGCAGTAATTTGGTCACAGAACCCAGCAGGAAGTTCTGCAGGCAGCTCATCAAACCCTGGCTGTGGGCGGCCAAACAAGCTCCCCAATTCTTGGAACAAGCCTGTAACTTAACTCATACATACTCATACAGCATACAGCACTCATTTCCCATTTCCTGTAGGAGTCCATAACTCCTTAGACATGGCGTTCCCTTTTTTTGGACAAAAACAAGCACGTTGGGTAGATTATTTAGGCATTGTGTGCTCATTTTTGGTAAAACTACAGCAAGTTGGGCTGTAGATGACCCCATCTAAAGGTCATAGAGACGCCATGTGGCCAATGTCTTAGATGAGACCGTGCCGGCGCTTCTTGAGGGCGTGCCCCGGTGCATCCAGCATGGAGAGGCAGGGAAGCAATGGATCTGTGAAGTTGTTTTGCGTTTGTTTTATGGCTCCATTGCTGGCCCCCAAAACAACAGGGGCAACATATATCTCGATTCTGGCCCATAGTGAAACGGGATCACTTGACATGAATTGTCATCAAAGATAATGTGTGTAGAGGGGGACCCCTTATTCTCTGCAGGTGTTAGGCGCGCTTGGCCACTGTTTTCTTGGTGTTCAGTGTCAAACAGTCTAGCGCTCCTTCGGGCGCAGTCACCAGGTTTTTGGACCTTGGCTAGGGCTGCTTCACAATTTATGATGGCATCTGCGCAAAGTAGGATGAGCTTACCGTTTTGTACGTCCAACTGAGTGCCAGGGAATCATAGTAAGTTGAGACGCTTTGAGATTCGAACCGTATGCCAGAATTTGAAAGGGCCATTGGCAAAACACAGCTGAAGAGGTGGGCCACAAGCAAAAGGGTAGATGAAGGTCAGACAGTCCCAACATGTCGCAACCGGAATCAGAAGCGGCAAGCCTCATCAGGTTTCGAGTATGACATGCGTTGAGACATGTTGAGAGCATATTGTAGAAAATTGGGTTCTGATCAGAGGTTGCTCCAGAATTGTGGGCCCCTTTGGTAAATGAGCAATTGGCTGGCAGTCTACTGTTGGTTGGGGAGGACATGGGGGGAAAGCTCGATCCCACACAACACGATGTTCTCTTGTTGTTTTGGGAGATATGTGTTGTTTTAGTCATTGCGCATATAGAGTTGACCACTTTCCGCGGACGCGTTTGCGGCAGTTTCAACTTTCGTGGGACAGTTGGTCGAGATCGCCAGTTCCTGTGGGAAGGGAAGCCTTGATAGCCGCGGGCATGGGAACATCGTGATTTTCCAGGGTCACGTCTCACATCACATGGGTCCTTCAGGCGGTGAGTTGCACTGAATTTGGCACTTGCCCTTCTGGCGTTCACACCCAGCTGAAAGATTGTTAAGGTGAGGGTCGTGAGGGGAGTGCCTCTGCTCCAACAGGGTGCCGGCCGGGGGCTCCAGAAGGGGTTCCCGAAGGGCTTGTTGGGGATACCATTTGATCGCCTTATTTTCGGTAGCAATCCCGGGGAAAGAACAAAACACGGAGGGACACTAGTAGAGCACACCCGCTTGCTCTGTGTTTTGTTGTTTTTTTTGTTTAGGTAAACAAGAGCTTGTCAACATGGTGGACCCCCTTCAGAACTGGTTAGCATGAAACAAAGCAAAAAAGGACGGCGCTGCCATTTTTGGGGGAAAGAACTGCTTGCAAAGCGGCAGGCCACTCCATTCGATTCGTACGGCAGGACGATTTGGGCGTACCTGGACAAAGATGCCGACGGCGTGATTTCACGCCAGGACACACCCCACCGCAGGTTTCGGGAGGGGGGGGAGTTGTTTTTTTCTCCCACGACATTCACTGGTCTGGGGTTTGGACACCTTTTTTTCCCCTTCTTTTTTTTACACAAATATATACACATATCATATATATATATAAATACATATTTATTTTGGGCGAAAATTATATCATTGCGTTTTACCCAGAACTTGCTTCACTCCAAAAGAAAGAAAACCATGGTACGCCACAGCCAGCGCCTTTTGGGCGAGCCTGCCTGGGAAGCCTCTTGCACACCCGAGCCCTTTTTGGGAGTCACCCCATGTAAAACTCCCAAAAACAACCGAACCGCAGTACCTGTTCAAGGAAAGCGCTCTGTCCTCTTTGTAAAGCTCACTTGCTGGGTTCATGGATTTGAAATTGTTTGGGAAGACCATTTCAGTGGTAAAAAAAAGCTTGCCCTTTTTTTGGCCCATGGTGTTGTGTTTGCTTCCGCAATACTTGGCCGCACCCGTTTTAGGCTCATTGCGCTGCAGGGTTTGCACTGCAGGTACATGCCAAAGCACCCGACCGCTTGGTTTCGGGTCGAATGGTTCCAAGCTACAGGCATTGGTGGCGCAAATCATATCATAATATCCCTAACCCCCGAACGTGCAAACCGCCAAACCAAACCACCACATAAGTTGTTTGATGAATTCGTTGACGGCCCTGCTTCATGAGTTGGCTGGCATTTGCCATGTTGCCGTCCAACGAGCGAATGCAATGTGAGATTTCCCTCCTGCACCAGCCAGATAGAGAAACAATGGCAAGACACAACGCCGGTTTATGCAAACAATGAACGAGAAAGCCAGCGCCTAGTGGCCACCCATCATTTTGCGCAACGCCTTGACCAGCGGAACCTGTACTTTTTCGGGAACAGTTCTGCCATTCATCCGACGGGCTGATCAAGCCTTGGCCAACACCACGGATTAAGTGTAGAACACCTTGTAATCTACATATCTATCTTTTGGTTTTATCGATTAGGGACAAGCGCACTTTTTTCCCCGCGCAAGCAATTTCCACCATGTTTTGCCCTGAATTCGGGATGCTACAGGCGTGTTCCGCATTAAATACCCTATTCTCTGATTCCCTGCTGAGAACAGTAAGTGTTTCGGCAGTTGCATCTGTGTGCCTCTCTGTCTAATGCCGCCCGCCTTTGGCTTCCTCTTCAAACATCACCCCACCAAAAGACCAAAAGGAAGCCAGCCAGAAGAAACCACCCAAGAAAAACCCTGCGGCGTCCAGGTTGAACAACTCGGGCCCCTGGCTGTTGCTTTGCTCGTTTCGGCTCAAGCACTTGGGTGGGGTCCCTTTCGGCGATTTAGCCTTCGGCTTGCCGAAGTGCATGTTCATGTCGTCCGAAGGGGAGGACGGCCTGTTCTCAGATGAAGACGGAGACGACACGGACTGTTTGGATGCCGTTGAGGCCCAGGCGACTCGGACAGAAAAGAAGAGAGAGAGAGAGAGAGAGAGAGAGAGAGAGAGAGAGAGAGAGAGAGAAAGAGGGAGACGCGGGTGAGCCACAAGCAACCAATGCCAATGAGGGTAAGTGAAGGTTAGTAAGCGAGTGTTCCCTTGCCAGGAACAGAATCAGATATTCGGCCTGGGCCTGATTCTTGACAGGAGGTTTAGATGGGCCTTCAGATTCTTGACTGGTTTTGGATAGACCATTCTAGTACCCCTTGTGTTGCGTTTTGGCTCATGTACCCCTTTTTTCCAAATGACTGGGATTGTAACCCAGCCAAAGGGCACTTCCTCAAGTCCCCAAGTGCCCCTTTTGAGGGCACACAGTCCGTACCTGAAACAGGTTTTTGTTGGTAAGGGTGTGATGTGCAGGTATTTTTCGGGTAGGGGACACGTTTAGTTCCGCAGGCATGGAGGGTATCTTATGTATCGTATGCATAGTATATATATATATACACAGTAATTATATACATGTATCTGCAATCACTTATTGCCTTATGAGCCTGACATTTGTGGTATAAAAGCGTCTCCTTGAACCATCTCAGACATGTTTTTTACAGGCGCTTGTGAATGGACCCTTCCTTTGGATGTACCCCCCCTGTCATGGGGTTCATGTTGACTGCCATTAAGACTCGGCCGGTTTCAACGAGGCCGTATCAACAGTTTTCCGGAACCCTTCCCGCCAGAGCCTTATAGGTCTGTGTGTCACCAAATTGACGTCATTTCCATAAAAGCAAAGCGTGGCAATCATTTCGCCCAATTTGGGCCTGCCCCCTCCCCACCGAAGAGCTTCTTCTGCAAAATTGAAAAAATGCCAACCGCGCGCTTTCGGCGATGTGACGTTACCAGCTTCTATAATCCCACTTCAACCTTACGTGGCCGAATTTTGGCCAGTGAGAAGCTTTTCCATAGTCCCGATTACATGCATTTGCAAAATAATCTTGTTCACTTCCCCTGTTGGCTTCTAGAGGAAATCTATCACTGCTGGACATTAAAAAACAAAACAAAAACAGGGAGCAAAAACGCCAACGCAAGATGACAGGCCCCCTCAAGCTCTTAAGGGAAAAGCTCCGCGGCCGCGGCTTGAGGCTTCGGACTCCGAGCTCTCGCAGCTTGGAGAGCTGCGCAACGGCGCGTCCTGCGCCAAGTACCAGGCGCCCAACTGGGTGGGGTTGTCCAGGTCGCATGCGTCCAGGTCGGACGCTTCCATGTCCATTCTTTCCAGGGGTGCGAATCTTTCTAGAAAACCATCAGTTCTAGAAAACCATCAGAAACCCAGGGGAAACAGATCTGGTTTTGAAAAGAACGATGGTTGAAAAGAATGGGGAATGACCTTTGAGGGGTTCCCCGAAATGGCGCAAGAGTTTTCCTTTTGGCCTCTAAACCAATTCTGAAAAGGTTTCCAACTCGCAAAAGGACACATACTGATCAGCGCCAACTCTGAAGGTGGAGCCATTGCAGGAGAATACCGACTTGTGACTAACGGGGTGGGGGCAGCCCTTGGCTCCTCTTATGGCTCTGTATCAATGTTGGGATGTGCAAAATCAGCTTAAAACCGTGGTGGGTGAGGTAACTACACCACAAGGTATCATTGCTTGAGTCATCTTAAGTCAGGGAAACAACGCACACGCGCGTTGCGCAAGGTCTGGAAATATAAGGCCAGGCTGGTGTTCCTTCCGCCACGGTTTTGGCTCGGAACCCAGCTGCTTGCTGAGCAATCCTGCAGACTCCGGATCCCTTTGGACCATTCTGGAATCTTCCGAACCAGGAACCTCCAGAGTTCTAAGACCCCATTGCTTTCAGCACATGTGCTGTTTACACTCCCGATTATTTTCCCCTTCTCCGAGCTGCTCCGAACAGAGCTTCATTGGGTGGGAAGAGAACACCCTGAATCTCGGGCACCTTCGGGTTTTGGGAAACCGCTTCGGGATACGAGAGGAACCGTTCCGGGATCGTAAAGGAACCCGCAGATGGATCTTGTGGGGGTCATTCCATTTCTCATTCCCTATCGAAGCTTCAGAGCCCCTCGAGCCTGGCAGTCTCAGGCTGTGCACGAGACTGTCTTTGAAGATTTGTATCTCCCGAAGGAGATCTATGCTGAGGCGGGACCCAAGGTGGGTATAGGGCAACAAGTGAGGTGACGGGGGAGCGTTATTTTTGGTATGTCAAAATAGGGAGCTCCCCCAAAAGTGTGGTTTTTCGTTTGCTTCTGCCTGAAACCAACCTCAAAAGGGTGCCCTCAAACCACCTAGACAGGCCCATTTTTTTGCCCTGAGGTCTCTGGAACAACTTTAGATTGGACGTGTTTGGCCCAGTGGCTCTCAAGGAAAAGATACAGCTAAATGTTGGTACGTGTCAAAAATTGGCCCCAAAAGGGTTTCGCGGGGAAGATAGTACCGGTTTTCCTTTCATGTTGGTTCCCGTTTGGTAAAACCCAGCTGAACAACACGGGCACCCGGCGAAGAAAAAAAAAACCGAACAAGACGGCAGCGGGGCACCTGGGCTTCCAGGTCACGCGTTCCTGGAACAGCTTCGCCCCGCTGAAAGATCACGCCGGCGAGGCGATCTTTAGCGCTGCCCGGCGAGCACTTGGTGGTCGATTGGAAAAAGCCGTACCCAAAGGGCCTAAGAACTTATTTGAGGTTTTTGGGGGTGCCTCATATGACTCGGGTCTTGGGCTAGGGGAAATCTGTAAAATGTGATACCCTAAGGGGAAGAGGTCTTGGTATCGCACCAATACCCTGAAGGGGTACCTAGCCCACACAACATATTAATATTGTCAACTTGAACCTATAGGAGTCTTACCCTGAACGGGAGGGAGCGCATATAGGTGTCCTTTTTCGACCAGTGCCACTGACACCATCACTCAAATTTGGCAGCCAATCAATTGGCATTTCCCGACTTTTTTTGCCGTTACTCCCCCTAGGTGTTTTTCCCCTCTTTCTTTTTTTGGGGGGGTTTCAAGTCTCGCCCGTTCGCCTGGTTTTGTTCGCAACCCGAGGCCATTTTCGAGGCCTCCGGGGCCTTGGTGCACAGCCTCTTTAAGACCC